GAGGGAATGGCCTCAAGCTGCCCAGGGCAGGGTCAGGCTGGCTCTGAGGAAGGATTTCTGTGCAGAAGGGGCTGTTGGGCGTTGGAATGGGCTGCCCAGGGCAGGGAGGGAGTCCCCATCCCTGGAGGGGTTGAAGAGTCGGGCTGAGCCAGCGCTGAGGGATCTGGTGGGGTTGGGAATGGTCAGGGTGAGGCTCATGGTTGGACTGGAGGAGCTCCAAGGGCCTTTCCAGCCGAGATGATTCTGTGATTCTGTGCTCTGGATGCCACTCTTCAGAAGAGACATCCTCTTTTCCCTCCTGTGTTGGTGTGATGTAGTGGCTGGTCTCCAAGTGCAGAAAAGGAGGGTTTAACCCTTGTTTCTGGCAGTGTCCTGCTGCTAACTTTTGGGTAGTTAACTTCCTTTTCCTGTGCCTCATATGCCTGGGTGTTTGAAAACAATCTGGAAACAGTTATTACTTTAGTTTGCCACTTGGTGGCAAGCTGTATGGCTTGGGAGCTGGAGAAGGTTCCTTCATGTGAGGAATCTCATGTGGTCTGAGTGTGCAGTGCTGTACAGAACGCTCTCCACTGCTCCATCTGTGTACCAGAGATTTGGGAAATGATCTCATGCTTCTAGTTCTCCATACAAAAAGTGTGATACAGGGACTAGGCATCCCTGTTACTATGACAATGGCATACTCATGGCCTCAGAGGTCACTCACTCCTCTTTCCGTTTCTCCACAGTCGCTGGACCTTGCCGAGTACAACGTGCTCTTTGTTTTGAGTTTCACCACACCAGCCTTTGATTCAGACGTCGCACCTTCCTTTGGGACCCTCCTTGCCACAGTCAACGTGGCCCTTAACATGTTGGGAGAGGTACTAGCCACTTCTCTGTTTGGGAGAGCACAGCAGTTGCAGTGATCTCAGAGCACTCATTCAACTGATATTTTGAAGAGTAGGAGTATTTCCTTGTTTGTATCTACTGTCTCTAATGCCTGTCTTTTCCCCTCTCAGCTGGATAAGAAGAAGGAACCTTTCCCTCAGGCTGCAGGGCTGAATGTGCAAGAGGGAACCAAAACCCTCAAGTAAGTTTGTAGCTTTTTGATTTAGTCCTGGCCGAGGAGCAGAACCAAATGCTCCTCGGATCAGAACTGAGGTTTGCAGGCATTCATGTAGCTTCAGAACTGCTCCCACTGAATCCAGGGAGTTCAGATAGTCCATCAGTTCTCCAAAGCAAGCAGGGATTTTTTGGGGGGAGGGTGTATGAAACCATCCCATCCTAAGATGCAGTGTAGAGAGTTGTTTGACACTTGTTTATCAGTACATTTAAATCAGACTCCCCTAATGGCCAACAGGAGTGTCTGCTGTGCAGACCATAGCTTTTGAGTATTGCTGCTTGAGCAGAAAGAGAACTGTAGCAGCGTTTCCTCTTATGTACCGTGTGTGTGACATCTCTCTAAGAGTATCTGACCTTGAAACTAGAGTGTGCTGACCTTTTTGGCTCCTGCTGATGTGTGTTTCTTTGCACAGGTCTCTGCTCATGTTTACAATGGAGAACTGTTTCTACCTGCTCATCTCCCAGGCCGTTCGGTACTTGAGAGACCCAGCTGTGCACCCCCGTGATAAGCAGCGGATGAAACAGGAGCTCAGCTCTGAGCTGGTAAGCAGCTTGTACCATCCTTTCTCGCTGTAAATGTGTCTTGTGGGAGAAGGTCATTTGCCTTTGGCTGCCCATAGAGCCCATTCCCCAGCATGAATCAACAGCCATGGGCTGCAGGTACCGGCGCCCGTTCCTCTGCCACCGGCGCCTTGTGTGGGGAGGGAGAGGGGCACGTGTTTGAAAGAAGCTCACCCGTTACCTGCCCCCCATTGCAGAGTACACTGCTCTCCAGCCTGTCTCGTTACTTCCGCCGTGGTGGCCCCTCTTCACCTGCCAGCGGGGTTCTTCCCTCTCCCCAAGGAAAGTTGGCCTCCAAGCTGGGTCCCGAGGGGCAGGAGCCTTTGTTTCAGCTCGTGCAGGCCTTTGTCCGGCACGTGCAGAGATAGATCCTGTCCTGCCCCTGCCTCCCTCTTCACGACGTGCACCAGAACGACTCACGTCCACCGCAGAAGGCATCACCTTTGGCAGAGCTCGCAACAAGGACTGGGAAAGGGAGGGAGGCCTGGGGTGGGCAGTGGTGTGAACCCACCTCAGAGCAGCAGCGAGATCCCGTTGAACTCGTGCAACCCAGTAGCAGAGGGAATGTAAGGAAAGGTGAGAGCGGCTCCTCGGCGACCAGCCCGCGGGCACAGCCCACCTGCTCCATCTGCCAGAGCATCCTGGCTGGGTACAAGTGCTCAACAGTCAAAACCTTTATTTTTATAGCTTGTACCTCAGCTGGGGAAGCTGTGGCTGGATGGAGAGAGGAGACAAAACTTTCCACTGGGCATTAACTCTGCTCTTAACACAAGGTGCAATCTGCCTCTCCCTCGCAGTCAGAGTCCAGTTAAGGCACAACCAAGGGATCAGCCAGCAATTCAGAGACCATCTTTCTACTGCTATTTTTGTACTGAATGGTTCCAGGCAAGATGGTGTATGTGTGCTCACGCCTTCCCTTCACCCTGCAGTCTGTGTGTTGTGTGTGTTTCTGAAGAGCAAGGCCTCACTCAAGGTTTTTAAGTCAAAGTTCCATTGCTCCAGTCTTGCAGTTTTTTGTAACTGTGCCCTATTTATACTGATATTAAAACCTTTATAGACAGCAGCTGAATTCGTGGTTTTGTATTGGATGTAGCAGCCTGCAGCACCAATTCTGCATCTTCTGAAGTCCCAGCTGGCAGTGGCGGGAGCTGTGGCTTGGGAGTGACAATCTAGATACCGTTTGAGGCGATGATCATCAAAGCCGATTCCCTCGGCTTTCCCACACCCACTCCCTTTCTTACTCTCACGATGGGGAACTCGTAGGAGGTTTCCTCAGGAATGACTCTTCTGCACACGATGGTGTGGCCCACGTGCATGGATTACTCTCTGCACAGGTCCAAGCTGCTGCTCTGCCTGTTGCACCAGCAGGGGAGGGCGTGGGTTGAAGCTGGAAGACAGACGGTGTCTACAGTGAAGCTGCATCGTGATGTTGTAGCTCTCAAGTAGATGAACAAACTCTTTAAGGCTCTTAAGGCTCAATGTGTGATGGAGACAGTAAGAGAAGGTCAGACACTATTGCTTAAAATAAAGCCTGAAATCTAGACAGACACTTCTAAGGTAAGAAATCAAATTTCAGTGTAGCTGTGAGCTGGTAACCTGCCAAATCTTTCCTAGAGACACTTGATTGTTGTACTAATCAGAACCTTTTTAATCTCGCTGGTTTTAAGAGACTAGAGCGAGAAAATTAGATTATCTTGCTTTGAGGGTTTGTTTTTGTTTTTTTTTTTCCTTGTAAGCTTAGTTGCTGGTGATATTCTAGCACACTTGTTTGATCTGGTTTTACTTGCCCTGGAGGCTTGGGAGAGATCTGAACTGGCTGGAGCAAAGTGGTCTTAAAGTAGAAGGCAGAGGGACTTTGATTACCTTCCAAAACCAGCTGAGCTGCTCTGACAGAAGGGAGGTAGTGTGCCAGTCCTAAGCCCGGTCTGTAACCATTAACGCTTTCTGCCACAGGGGAGCTGTGAACAGGGAGATTTGAAGGTGAAGAACCGTGCAGAGAAGACAGCAAATTGGTGCCAGGTAGCTACGGGGAGCAGGAGTAAAGCCAGAGTGCAGCACATCTGAGCAAGTTCAGCAGTGCTTAGGGCTGTTAGCTGATAGCTCGGGTAGGTATCTTTCCCTTTGTTACAGCTTTAGAAGTTAACACATGGTGCTAATCGCTTTATTAGTGTTCAACAAGAATGGACAGAATGAGAATTGAGGGAGAAGCGATACATTCTTTTAGATATTTACTTAAGCACTAGAGTGAGAGTTTATGGTGCTAGGCCGGAGTCCTTGGTGCCAGGTAGCAAGGAACAGTGGATGCTGCTGGTGACATCTGTGCTTCAGAGTTACAGCTTCACTTTAGACAGCAGCATTTCAGCCCTCAAGTGTACCTTTACCTGCCCCTCGGCCCCAGAGAGGTGTGGAACAGCCTTCGGCCAAGACACCTGCAGATAAGCAGCAGGAGAGTGTCATCTCTGCAGAGAGCCAGTCTGAGATGGCAAGAGATTTTGCATGTGCTCTTTTCTAACACAGGGAGGGGAGTGCTGCTGCTAGAAAGGCAGGAACAGACTTTCTTCTGGCTGTTCAGAGGGAGGAGACACCATTTTCTGCATCATTAAGCTGTTGCTGTTTTTGCTAAAGCTGCTCTTCCTCTTTCTTTAATGCACCAGGGAGAGGAATAACAGGGAAACCAGGATGTCACTGGCCTGAGGGAAAGGTATACATCCCAGATGCTGGAATGGAAACGGCCAGGGGTAAATCTATAAAAGGGTATAACTAGTAGTGGTAATCATGGCACTTGTAAAACTAACTAAAACAGTAATGTAATTTCCCCATTCCCTTTCATGGGAGTTTAACTAGAAAAACTGAGCGCTGTTGTTACACTATAGAGCATTTCAGCAGCTGCTTTTCCCAGGAGTTCTTTCCAAGCCGGGTGCTAGGGACAAGGCTTTAGGATTTTAGATTAGCAGCAGATCTAGTTTCCATAACAACAAATAAATGTCTGTTAGCTATAGAATAGCATTTCCAGTCTCTCAGCAGCTAAAGTCATCCTGCTCTATTTTTGCTTCAGGTTAAGGAGGAGCTGTTGTTTCTTAGAGTTTCTGACTCTGTAGTACAACTGAGATGTGTCATCTGGGAGAGGAACTGCAAGACATTAACAACCTTAAGGTGTGTTGAGAGTTTCAGCTGGGACAGGAGGTTTTGTTTTTCCGCCCAGCTCCCCCAGACTGGGATGGCAGAAGGGCACAGCTGCCTCCCTTTGCCTCCTACCCAGCACCGCTTGTCCCTGGAGCCTGTGGGCACGTGGCTGGAGAGCAAGGGCAGCCCAGAACCCACACAAAACCCCGAGGCAGGAGGTCAGGCAGTTTGTTTATTGGCAAATAAGTGCTGAAAACCACGAGCCCTACATACACAGGTGCTCAGTGCCCTGTTACATTAGAGTGGTCACAATATCATGGGGGAAAGTGCAAAAGATCAATAAACAAGCCAGGTTTGTTCTGACATACCAAGGGGAAGGTTGTGAACAGAGAGCTTGGTGCAGGGGAGTTTCTCTTCCATCCAGCTTGAGTGGGAAACGAGTTACACAGCAGCAGAAGTCCTTTAGTTGAGCTCTAGCTCAAAAGCTCGTTACGGGATTAAAAGGCATCCACACCTGAGCACGCCCTTTGAGCTAAACCACCACATCCATCAAGGGCAGCCGGGATTGTTTAGTGTGTGTGTGGCCAAGAATAGCTCATGGTTGGAGATAACAGCAAGTGGGACTATCCCTTACAGTACAGGGATGCACCAGGTCTGTTCACTGCTGAGAGGGGAGGGGAAGCATTAGTTAAATCAGTGATTTAGGGTGAAAATAAAGTCAGGCTGAAACATGCCTGGAACAGACACACTGAAAGAAAAGCCTGGACAATTAACACAAGGAGCAAAGCTTATAAAAAGGCTTGTAAACTCTTTGCAGTCCAAGAGCAGTTTCTCAGAGGAAATGCAAGCAAGATGCATGGTCCCTTGCAGTGAGGTTTGATTTTTGACATACAGGCCCTGCTGGGTCTTCACAAAGAAATTAACCTTCCAGCTTCTGAGGACCATTCTAGATTGAAGCCATCAGGCACCACGGTAGCAAGCATGGCTCTTGGAGAGCCTTGCATTACTCTTCTCCCACAGCTGAGCAAGGTGGATGGGTTTAACAGGCTCTTAATTCTTAAATTCAGTTTCCTTGCCTTAAGAGCTAAGACATGTCAGAGGGTTGGCGCGGGACACTGCCCCACAGGAATGCTTAATGGTTTGACTTAGGCAATTCTACTGCTGAAGGAGAGAGAGGACGGGAGGGGCGGACAGGCACTAACCCACACCAGACACAAGGGAAGTGTAACTCAAACTCTGTGAGCAGCTGCTGTGGGAGATGGCTCGCTGGCCCTGGGAAAGCTGCTGCTATGAACAAGACTAGGGTAGGGTAGGAAAAAAGTAATCAAGGAATCTTGCGCCATCAAGACTAACCTCAAAGCAGGCTGCACGGGTAGTTAACAAATTCAGTCTTGGTGCCATCAGCTCTTTCCCAAAACCTCGCTGTCATGGTTTTACTACTGCTTTCCCACAATTCCCCTGTTAGCAATGGAGTGTCAACCCTGAAGAGAGCAATGGTCTCGGATGAAGAAATCCGCATTAGAAGTGCCAGGAGATGAGGGGTGCATTCTGCTCATACGTTCTTCCTGGAGACATTTAGCTTAACAGTTCCAAGTAAGTGACAGGAACTTTCCCTTTCTGGTTCCCTCTTTCTCCTATGAGCCAGTCTGGATCCATGCCTGGCAGGCTGTACACAGTGATCATCTGGGGAGAGAAGGCAGCGTTAGACAAGGCCCTCCCTCTGCAGCCAGAGCCCAGAGGTTCAGTCAGAGGGGTACTGACAGAAAATAATGCCTCAAGTTCCTTCAGCAGGCATCTGTGACCTTTCCCTTGAGCTCCCTGTAGCTTTAATAGATCTACAGAAATCTCTCTGCTGCTTTTTCATTCTCCAAACTGACTTAATGTATTTTTGCATACAGGGTGGCATGATATTGCTACAACATCCTTTCTGAATACAAAAGTTCAGTCTAGTGAACAAAAGAGTTTGCAACTTGCTGAATTTCCTTTTTTCTCAGGATGGTAAGACCAAGACCTCCAGCCAGTAGCTTATTCCATTGCTCTGGGATAAGGCAGCTATATCTGAGGGTCACAGTGAAAGATACTAAGTCTTGGGGTATTTTGTTGGCTGGGTATAGAAGAGGAATAGAAGAGCTGCTGGGGTGATGTTCTTAAATAGCAAATGGCCATGAGCACAAGCTCACTGCAACTCAGTGGATACTAGTGTCAAGGGAAAAACTCAATTAGCAGTTCCATAAACCAGGGGTTTTAAGGGCAAGAAAAGTAACCAGGACCTTGCTAAATGTGCAACGAGCTGGTAGGCATTCACGGCAAAATTCAATACAAAGGAGAGCTACCAACCTCATCTGCAAGAAGTGCCAGCTCAGTGCTGTCAGCTGCTTCGTAATCATAGAGGACTCTGGCCTTCCGTGTCCCGCTGGCAGGAGGCTTGACTTCATTCGGGTTCAGGACGCTCTCTGCCACGGTATTAGGCACCCCAACAATCGTGGGCACAACTGGAATGGTAGGCACAGCAGGGAGTGTGGCAGCAGCAACAGCTGGAGGAGAGGTACCAGCTGCGGGAGATGTGGATTCTGCGTTGCCTACAAATGTGCCTGAAAATCTTACGCAGGAGGAAAAAAGCAGAGTTCAGTGAGGCTCTAGGGTGAGGAACCCAGAGCTTGCTTTTTTAGTAGTTACACTGCGGAGATGATGCTCAAGAGTTCCAGTTAACAGCTGTAACATATCTACACTGTCCTTCGAGGGGAAAGGTGCTGAGACTATGCAACAGGTAATAATTGTCTGCTTGTTGTGATTGCAGTGTCCTGTTACAGGCCAGGCACCCAACCTCCTGAGCGAGGCCCAGAGGGGGGTCTGGGCAGGTGCTGTTCTTGGCTCTGTTTTACGAGGCCATTGGGCCGTGTCCTTGCCCTGCTCTCACAGTCTGTGTTATCTGTTCAGGCTGCCAGTTCTTCAGGAAAGGGACAGGCATTATTGCTGTTAAGGTGGGTGCCACAGCTGGAGGCTCCCAGGCTTTCTGGGTTCTCTGTCTAGAGATGGTAACGGAGCCCGGTCTCATTGATCTGTAGATACCTGGCTCTGCACGAAGGGCATGCAGCTCTGGCCCGTGCTGGCCTTTGTAGCGAGTCTGCAGAGACTCCAGTGTTTGGGGGAGGTGGAGAGCTCTTAGAGCTACTGTGTTCAACATCCTACTTACATTTCTCCTTTGGAGCTGCAAGCATGGAAAAGAACAGAACGGGAATAGTGAGTGGTCATGTAGAGGAAACAGCCCCTCCTGGGTCAGGCCACAGCGCTGATGTGGCAGGTGAGAGACAAACAGCCCTGCCCGTGCCCAGGGCAACGCAGCCACCAGCACTGAACGTGACTGCTGCAGCTGAGCACGCTCAGCCTCGCTGCTTGGCAACAGGAATTTGTCTCCCATGTGATTTAACTAATTTAGAGGAAGAATGTTCCAATCTCATGGCCATCACGCTTTGAGATGAATGTATACAACCCAGATGAATCCAAGGGGAAAGCCTGCTGTAAATGCGCTGCCACCAGGACTGCTCACCATTCCACAAGCTCAAAGCTCTGTCAGCGCTTGGAGGGGTTTTATAACTTGTACCCAATGCTGTGGCCAGGGGTGGGGAAGGAGCTGGGGTAACAAGACAAGTAACCCTCAGAGAAATAAAAGCAGTCTCTTGTCTCACCTGCCCAGTTGCTTCTGCAGGTCCAGCATGTATTGGTAACACTGAGCATAGTAGTTGGTCTGAGACTCCACAAACTCGTGGAGACAGCGAAGATGATTCACCTGGAGGGAGAAGGACTGTAAGCTGCTTTGGGAGTTTGGTTGCTAGGCACAGGAACTTTCCCTGCAGCTACTACCCCCCCATGGGAAGCACATATTTAAAAGAGCTAGTTGGTTTCCTTGAACGCACCAATTTAAGTTTGGGAATGCTGTAATAGTCCCAAGGGTGATCTCAGAGGCTCTAGCCATGCCCTTGTAGCTGGCCCACAGCTCTAGCGAGAGAACAACCAGGTTTTTCTGTCTCGGAAGCATTTTGAGGACTGCAGAGCTGCAGATGCCACAGTGGCACTGCCTGTGCGTGTTCATTATGTTTTTAGTTTGAGCATTCCAGGTCTTAGGAGGAGGTTGCTGTAGCATCCAAATTTATGACCTCTTCTACCTCTACGCTCAGTGCAGGGCTCCATCACCCTGGTGGCATTCTTCCAGAAAGAATCTGTGCAGCCCTGGAACTCCCAGTTACCCAGGAGGACTCACATGTGTGCTGCTGATCCCCTCCAGCAGCAGACGCGTCACCTCTGCCTGCCGATCAAACTCGGTCTGCGTGAGCCTCAGCTCGTGTTCTGCCTGCAAAAGAGGACGGGGTGTTCAAGCCAGCACAAGGCAGGGACCCCTGCTCTGCCTCTTCCAGGGAAAGGTACCACCCACCTCCTCCACCAACCCCCATTTGGCACCAAGACAAGTGTGCTGCTGGATCGTAGGATCCACGTGCACCCGTGACACTGACCCCCGAGGCCTCTGGCTGCACTTCAGCTTGATTCCTGCTTGATCCTGCATGGGATCACTGCAGGGCATGGAATGGCAGCTCAAGGCTGATGCATCAAGCTAGGAAGTGCCTACTCCCACAAGACTGGAACATGAAGATGGAGAGGCTTGGTTAATCCTCAGGGATGTGGAAAGCCAGTCCCATGCCAGCACCTGTCCTTTTAACCCCCTCTTTAGGCATAGGAACTAGGAATTTAGAAATAGGAATTATAGGCATAGGAATGTGACAACCTCCCTAAGTTTCTCACCAGAAGTGCAGCTTTTCCCAGTTATCATTTTTATCATCATAGAACAAAGGCTGAGGCCAGGGAGCATTTATCAAATGGCTGTTACTAACCAAATCTCCCTGCAATGGAGATGAAAACATCCCAATCCAACTTCTACCCCAGGCTCTCCTTTGAAGCTAGTTACTCATCTGAGCTAGGAGGAATTAAACAAGGTTAACAGAAGGCAGCTCTGCAGCAGACACTGGGAATTCAAAGACAGACGTACTGGAGACCCTCTTTACCAAACAGAGCATCTCTCCCCTACCAGCAAACAGCGTACTGACACCAGGGCAGTTCTGCAGCACCGGAACACCCAGGGGGATCTTTGTAAGGAGAAGAGCTCCAGAAGTGTTGGAGCCATCAGGTGTTCTGGTGCCTGCTCTCCCCTCCCGCTGCCAGAGGGAAAGGGCTGACAAACAGGCACATTTGTTCCCTCTGGTGTGTGCTGCTCCTTAACCCCAAGGGGAACGTGCCAGTTCCCTCTTAGGACGTGCTGTGACTGACAGCACAGAAGAGTGATGTCCACTCAGCTACAGCGTACTGGAAGGAGAGGAGCTGGGGTTCTGTGTCCTCTTCCCCTTCTCCGGGGGGGTGCAGCAATCGCAGGGCTCCTGTCTTGGTGCTGTGGTTCCTGCATGGCCCCAGTTCTGGGAGAGCCCTCCTGCTGCTGCTGCTTTGGAAATGATCATTCTGGCACAGGAATCACTTGTTTGCACTTGATCCTGGAGGACTAATCCAGAGATGCTGATAGAGCTGAGGCCACATCGGTGGTGTTAGAGCAGGGTTCCCCCCGAGGAGAGCAGCCTTTGCAGCAGGGCACACCAGAGGAGCTGCTGCGGGCCATGACAGCGTTACCAGTCCTGTTGTATGGCTAGGCTAGAACAAAGACACGCTTTGACTGTCTTTTAATCAGATTTGTCTATTTTAAGCTACAACTGATCTATTTTCTTGCATCCTCTGTATGAAAGGGATTATTTAAAGGAGAAGGGGAAATGTAACAGGAAATACCAGTGCAATGCCTTACTAGGCACAAAGATATTCTTGCTCCAGTGAGCCGAGAGGGGACTTCAGTAGCAGCAGAGCTATCTGAAACTTGTGACAGGCAGAGCCAGCTCCATTTGGCACTGCCTGGGATTTCACCCATTGCCTCTCCCTGATAGTTCTGAGCAGTTGCAGGATGTTTCCTATAAAGTCAGCACCGACTGTGACCTGGGAGGTCCCTTCCAGTCTTGTGCTTCTCGAAGACAGAGAGAACTTTGAAGTTTACTGACATACTTTGGTCTATCCTGGCTAGACAGACCAAAGAGAGAGCTAGAGGGACAGAGCTTTGCATACTTAGAGCTGACTGCAGTCAGCTTATTTGTTTGAGGGACTGAAGGATTTTGCATACAGGATGAGCTGGTTCAAAAACAGCCAGTCTGCTCTGATGATGCATTTAAGGCAGGAATAGGCTGCTATCATGCACAGCATGCAGGACCGTGCCAGTTCAGGCTTCAGGCTGTCTGCTGGGGGTGTTTGAGGTATGAAAGGCAATGGGATCCCAGGTGTCTCTGGGAGCTCCATACTGTGCTGGAGCTCCACAGAGAGCTCACTCTGGTCTCGAGGCCACTAGCAGCCTTCCATCCATCTTCATGGACAAGTCACACTCCCATTTCAGAGCCCAAAAGATAAGATCTGGGACTTTGCCTCCATGGACCCACTCAGAAGGGTAAGTGCAGCTCACCCAGACAGAATTAACTCCATGCCAGGCTCCAAACCTCCCGCCCTTGTTCACAGGGAGACCCTCTGTCTTTGCCTGAGCTCTGCTTAGAGCTCCTGCTCAGACCCCAGAACACGCAGGCAAGGGGCTACTAGAGGCTAATGCAGGGCACATGCAGAATTGGAGCAGGCGGGGCCTTTGCCACCGGAGCAGAGCTGGACCACATCACCTCTGCTCCTGTGACACCAGTGCAGGGTTCTCAAGAGTTGCCTTTTACCCCAAACAAACCCAGGCTTGGTTTGCCTAGGAAGTCTGACATGGTACAGCGGAGGGGCCCACGGGGCAGGCTCTTCCCACGCCACGCTGAGTCACGCTGAGCCATTCAGCTGTGGGACCAGGACTGGGGCTGACACCAGCAACATCCCAGTGCTCCCCCCCTGCATGTGTGCAGGCACACAAGCAGGAAGGAGGCCACAGCACCCCCACCCCCTAAACACCACCAGCACACCCAGGTTTGAGCACAGTTTCAGCTGGGTACTTACTTTTTCCACCTCGTCGCTCCAAAGCTGTAGGGGCCACAGAGCAACAGGAAAGGAGATCAGTGTTGGAGACATCGAGAAGCACTCGGCATTAACACCAATTGGCAAGGACGCTCCGTGGACATAGCAGCCCAACTCCGGGGACAAGCTAGCCCTTCACCCAGCAGCAGCTGCCAGACCGATGCCCCTTCCCCTCCTTCCTGCACCCTTGAGCTCAGTTTCACAACAGGAGAGCAAGTCCATGCCGCCCGAGCCAGCAGCATGTCAGCTCTGCTCCCTGCCAGGGCTGTTCTAGCAACGGCATTCAGCAGGCTCCGGGAAGAACAGGATTAAGCAGCAGAGTCCTCTGAACAGCAAGGGTTACTTTGCTGAAGCCTGCAGAGGTTGGTGTTGAAGAACAGCCCTTCTTTTGGGGTTATGGAGAGGCAAGTGAGCTGCTTGCGCCCACAAACAGGGCCTGGGAACTGCTGTGAGCTCAAGCCAGCCAGAGGCCAGTGTTCCTCACCCACTGGGTCTAGAGAGCTGAGGTTAACGGGAACATAATCCAGCCAGTCTGTGCTACCAACCGGCATGTTTAGCTACGGGAAGGAGGAAGCAATGGCTGGATGTTGCCTTTGAGCCAGGCAAAACACCACAGCACTACTCCTTCCTACCCTCCTCACCCACAGGGGCACATTCGGGGCAGCACAACACTGCCAGCTGCTTGCTGGGATCTGGCTAAAAGGACATGAAACAATTGACAACAAAAGTCACACACAGCAGTGGGAAAGGGAGAGAAGAGGTAGAAAAACACATTGATCCTTCTTAGAGGTCCTCGGCTTGGCCTTTCCTCAGCACACAACGATTCCCTCAGCCCTGGCAACAAGAAGAGAAATCCCCCTGGATCAGCTGAGAGCACACCAGCCTGCAGCAACACCCCACATCAGCGGGGCCAGGGGAAATGGCCTCTGAGGGCCTCGGCTTCCCCCTCTAACATCACTTTTGCCATCAGGGGAGTTCACCATAGCATGGCTGAATTTGCACTGCAGGCACATGGGCACCCTGTGCTGCCGCTGTGGTGCGGGAGGGAGAACACCCTCTGTTTAGACCCAGGGTCTCCCAGCCAACCCTTGCTGAGGTTTGCTCAGCAGCAGCTGCCCTCAGGTGGGCTGTGGTTCCCCACAACTCCACCAGACAATATAAGGAGCACCTGCAGGAGCTGCCGCCTGGTGAAAGGCTGCAGCAGGAAGGGGCTATGCCAAGCTCCGTGGTTTGCTGCCTGTTCCTGTTCTGGCTTCTGCCCCCCTTCAGCTCAGCTCATGCTCCGTGGTGGTATGTAGCCCAACAGGCATCTCTTCTTGAGTGGAGTTACTGTAGCTGGTCCCTTACGACTGTCCCTGTGCAGCGCTCCATGCACTCTGACTGTGTGTTTTCTCTGACCTTTGGTGGATGTTTTGTTTCTGTAAGTCAAAAACAGGTTCAGATAAGGCCTGGGCAATTTCAGCCACGTGTGGGGACACAAGTCCCTTCCCCTCCTCAGTCTGGGAGCTCCTACTCTGGAAGGCAGGTCCCAGCCTGAACTGCTGCACAAAGCCTCTGTCAGCACACCCTCATGGTTTTGGAGCAAGGTTTACTGCAGGGGCAACAGGAAGCTTTTGCTCTGGCCACAGCTCTTCCTACTTCAGTGCTGTAGACAGTACTTGAGCTGTTCCAGGCCCATTTGGTCACTGCAGTACCCTTTGAATTTGTAGCTGGATTTCTCCTCTGTTGGCCTTGCTCTGACCCTGCGGTGCTCTGGGGCAGTCCAGATTTGTTCAGTCTCTAGTCAGAAGCATTTCAGACAGCTCGGGGAGCAGAAAAAGCCATGATCTGCACCTATCTTCCTCTACCCAGCTCAAGCCAGAGGAACCCTCTTTAAGGTACTCAATATGTTTTTTTTGGAATCGTTCCTAGGAGCACAGTGCATGGCAAGTGGCAGGGGCCGAGAGAAAGGGATATTTAGCTTACACCTTCTTACACAAAAACAAAAGGTCAGTGTGGGAGAGAGGAGAAATGGCTCCTCAGCCTCCAACTCATACAAAATGAGGGAGGTGCTTGTCTCCAGGTGGATTTAATTCCATCTAAGCCCTCCTGTTATAGAAGGGGAAAAAAAAAATAAAAGCACCATGTTATCCACCTCTCCAAAAAGCAACAACATAAATTTAGAATCCAAATCGGAGCCCTGCTGAGGGCATATGGTCCAGGAGAGAGCTGACCTGTTTGCTCACCTGTAAGATGAAGTTGTTACCTGGGCATAAGCAATCCCTCCCTCCAGACAGGAGCAAGGTGAGCAGCAACCACTACTCTATACTGTCAGAACGCACTAAGACTAAAGTAGCGCAAGAATTCTGGCCTGGAAGAAAAGCAGAGCAATAGTATGAAGAGCTCCTACCTGGCTGCAGTGCCTGACCCTTGGGATGAATGCTGGGATTAGAGAGCTTGTTGCAAAGCAGTCCTGCCTGCACCGAGCTGGGGAGCAGTCTGGGCTTAGCCTGTGTTTTGCTATTAGTTATTTTAGTTATTTGCCAATTGTTATTCAAGTCACCCCTGCTAGTGCAGCTGGACTTAAGGTGGCAGTTCAGCCACCAATTGCAACCTCTGAATTAGATAGTTTGGAAGCCATGAGGACCACCGCTGTCCAGGCCAGCAGGTTTCTTACACATGCTCCTGGTAGGAGGCCCTGCTCTGCAACTATCAGACATGATTAAGTGATCCAGGTCAGTGCTGTCTGCTTACCTAGAACAAGTCTGTCTCCTAGAGCCCAGCTCTAACTGTCCAATATCACCATTGCTGCTGTCAGAGCTTCTCTAGCAGAGCTCTGAAGAGCGACCACTGAACCAGGCAGAGATGTGCCAGGGTAGACACCTAGGGGCTAACCCCTCCAAAAAAAAAAAAAAAAAAATTAAAAAAAAAAAAATCTATTTCTCCTGTTGTGTTACTGTACTTGGCACCTGCTCCCCAGAAAAGCTTTGCAGTACAGCAAAAGCAGATCAGCTTGCAGTTTGGTGATGACTAGACACGCTCAACTGAGCATGTGGGCACTCTGCAAGCTGCTAGTGCACATTATACAAATGCTTACCTTCAGGCCTGCTTTAGAAAGCCTCAGGAAATGATCAGGACACCCTGGTCTAATCAGAGCTATTCAGAGGCAGGGAAAGGCCAGTTTCTCTCCTCTGATTCTCCTAGAGTTCAGTTTTAGTCCATTATTGTGCTGTTCTTTGTACAGATCTTTCCAAGGAACAAGCCAGAGCCACAGGCTTGCTGCACTAGGAGAGATGGAAACTGAGCAATTGCTACAGCATCACCAATATCAGCTTCTTCCTCAGGAGTCCCACCCTCGGGTCTGTTACCTGTGGAAATAATTTTCTAGCTATTGTAAAGCTATTTCTGATCCCAGCATCACTCTCCAAGAAGGTCAGGACAGATCTCCCTGGGGAACTAACACTGATGCTATCAGCTCAGACATACCTCTTTCTCCAATGGGATGGGTTTCCCATTAACCAAATCCAACTTGTTTCCATGAGGTTTTTGTTCACAAGAAGGCTGGGATGTCCCTTTTCATATCTACAGATCCCACTCCCAGATTATTCTATTAACAGGCATCAGTGTTGTTCTGAATGCTATTTAGGAAGCAAGATGATCAGTTTTCAACATTTTAACGAGAAATGTGACATTGTGCAATGGGGAGCCATGAACACAGCATGGGAAGTCAACTGCTTGACTACAACCACTCGGTGCAACACAGTAGAAATGCAACAGGCTATTCACCCAGCCCAGCACATCTGACTGTATAACAGCCACCAACAGACAGGCCCCAAGACAAAAGGAAAAAGAATTGATCTCTATTTGCTGAATAGACAAGACTGCACTGTCAGCCTACTGTGTTACTGATATGATAGTGGCAGAGAAATTCCTGCACCTCTGCTTCTCTTGACCAGCTACAAAGTGTGACACCACAGTACTGATCAGGCAGTCATGCATGTGACATTGCCAGTGTACAGCTGGAACCATCCAGAAAGGCTAACCTTTGAGGGTTTTGTCCTTTCAATTGCTCCACTAGCAATAAAAAACAGTCAGAAGATTCCCACTAGAAATGTGGAAAAGGATTGGCAGAGAAACTGGAAAACAAACCAAGCAGCAGGAGTGCCAGACCCTGACCATGCACCCCTATGGGGGTGATCTGCATCCTTAAGGTTGGGTCAGAGGAACCCTGGGCAGCCCATGTCACATTAAAATGTTGAAAACAGCAGAGCACTAGGTCTGAGATTAAGTCGGGTGGAGAGAGGGGCAGGAAGAGGTTGGAGAGGCAACATCTAGGAGGAGGCAATCTTACCGCTGATGCGCTGGCGGAGAGAACGTAATTACGAGGTCTAGTCTCCTGAAAGTCAGGCACAGCCTAGTGGGGGGAATAGAGTTTCATGTACAAGTCACGCAGAAGAGTCGACAGGAGTCAGTTGGCCAGTGGACGGAAGAAGGGACTAGTGGTTTTTTCCCTGTCTGTCCTAGAAGCTTAGCTCAAATTCTTATGGGGTGGCAGGAAGGAGGTCTCCCAGCAGTCTGGGCAGTGGTGTGTGGAAGCTTTCCCCAGATGGAAGCCAGGCTTGTGCAAGAGGGGGTGGACTGGCTCATGCAGTCCCACCCGGTGCCTGAACAGCAGGAATTTCTACTGTTAGAAACCCTGCCTGTACTTACAGCTCTCCGCTCATACAGCGGCCAGGTGGAGTGGAGATGAGGCAGCACAATCTCAAATGCATTTCCCATTCTCTTGCAGCCAGCAGTTGTTCACATCATGTTGGCTCCATCCAGTGAGCAGGAACTTCCTTCCCCTTGCTTCCTACCTACAGTCCTAGAAGTGTCCCTGCACAGGGCTTTGGCCTTAAGGTGGGCATGTTTACTGGCATCAGAGCATCCTTCCCACAGTGCCTTTCAAAGAAACACTTCTACTTGTTCTTACTGTCACCAAGCCTCTGAGCATGTTTCCTCTTAAAAGACTCGGATATTACCCTTACTGCTATTTTCAGTAAGGGGCACGGCTTAGCCAGAGCAGATCTGGTCCAAAGCCTTGCTCTTGCCAAAGGCAGTGTCCGAGTTTTCAGCCCAGAGGTCAGCAAACCTCCAAGCCACCTTCTCCATAGTCAAACCTCTGCCCTGGGGCAGGAAGACTTAAGCACTCTGGAGGTTTTTCTCATTGGGAATGTAAGTGATCCAGTCCACCCCCACACTAACTAACCATCACACAAGGTCTCTATTCAGCTAAACAAAGATTAGGCCTCCTCCTTGGAGGGCCTTTGGCTGTAGCATCACCCAGAGATAAGCCAGCGAGTTAGCTTAGATCAGGGCCATCGCACTGGTGCAGTGGATCAGGGTATCCTCCTGGTCAGGCTTTACTAAGCAGTAAATTGGTGTGCAGGGCTGGCACACAATCCAGCTGTAGCCCAGCTACGTTGTTAATCCTCTCAAGCCCCACGTTTCCTCTCCCAGGTTAATCTCTTTGCAGCTCACCCAGATCTACTTATACATGCTGACCCGATTTGCTGGGCCCCAAGCAGCCTGCTGGAATGAGTGACCAGTGTGTGGAAGAGCAGTCAGGCAGTCCCAGCAAGAAATTTTATTTTTTTTTTTAAACCATCTGGAGTTTTGGGGATGGCTGGAGGAAGGAATAAGGAGGAGCAATTCTTATTACAAGTCAAACCTGAATATAGGGAGAAAAATGCACCAGTAGGATTTGAGGCCAGCACAGCAACTAGGCTTGATTCCTCCCTGTGGGGAGATGTTTCACAGAAATAGCTTCTTAAAAAAGAAGATCAAAAGCAACTGAAGAAACCTCTCCTCCCATTCCCTGGTCTCCAGGGAGTCCCAAAACTAGTCATAGCACATGGGATGAAGGAGGCAAGCTGCTCTTGCACTCCTATGTGTGGAGAAGTTGTATTTGCAAGCAGTGGTCAAAAGACACCCACCTCCCTCCCCCTTCTGCTCTTGTAATGGGGAAAATGGGCAGAGCCCTGGGGCCTGGCAGACAGAACAGCACCACAACCAGATGAACCTGCCTGTCATTGTCTCTGGGCTGCCTCCCTTCCAGGAGAGGGACTTGCCACCCATCCCGACCTCCTCCTGCCAGCAGCTGGAGGAGCCTGAGTGGGTCTTTACAAGAGTCTCTGCCTCTCTTGAGCACTGCTTGCAAGCAGCGTTGAAGGAACCCAGGGCACGCTCCAGAGGGGCTGCAGGCAGCTGACAGACACCCCCATCTTTCTGGAGCACCTTGCCCAGGCAGCCACAGCCCTGACCACGCTCAGTGCATGCGCCAGGGCCAGTCCCGATGGGACAAGAGAGATATGAATTTTCATTTAAAATGGGAAAGAGACAATGAGAGGTGTTAAAGAAAAAAAAAAAAAAAAATCACAGCACTGTTAGCACAGTCAATACTCACATCTCCCTCACACTGAGCAAATTACAAAGAAACAAAACAAAAAGGTTAGTAAACAAAATAGCATCAACAGGAAGGACAAAGCACAAAGTCCGAGGGAAATGCACAAGCCCAGACACTCGAACAGCAGCTCACAGGTCTGGGCAGCAGCGCACTTGGAGGGTCAGTCACAAGACAGAAGCTGTGGGAACACACGTTTGCACTACGGAGGGGGAGAGCAGCAAGAGAGTGGTGAGCTGGGAAGGGTGCAATACTTTAGGCCAGCTTGGATGGCGAGGTGTGACACAGGACTCCAGCCTGTTACAGGGAACATTGTGGTCTAACGCTGAGTTAACACGCTGAGAGCAGAGGCAGCAGTTCTCTCCCTGGTGCTGGGAGCTTCCACCTGTGCCTCGTCCTCTAGTAGTCAGTGAGGCACCCAGCGTCCCGAGGGCAGGGACTCCACCTTTAAGCTAAGTTGGGTAAGAGATGTGTGCCACAACAGCAGCTAAGGTTGCTCTTCTGTTGTGTGAGCTCTGTTTCAAAGAAGCAGAGTGGCTGAAACGTGGCTTGGGGTGAACACCCTGGAAAGCTGGACTGGCTCTGCACCCTCCGTGGGGCACCCCAACCCAGCAGTTCCAGTAGGAAACCAAGTTTTTCAGCTACAGGGAAGTCCCTCACCCAAGGGTCTGTATGCAGGTGAGAGGCCTTGGGATCACTTCAAATAGGAAGCAAGCTAAAGAGGGTGGAAAGGGAGAAAGCACAGGAGGTATCTGAATCCCTGCTCTGATTTGAGGTTAAAATAAAACAATGGCCACCACTTCCCACTGAGACTGGGGGCACTGTCCCCTTCAGAAAGGGAATTGGGGATCCCTGAAGTTACCTTCAGTGGATCTGGGTGACCTGACTGATGAGAGGAAGCTTTATTTAAAAGGGCAGCCATCCCTTTTGTTCACCCAAAGCTTTGTTTAGAACTTTTCCACACAGGCCTCAGTGCTGCTAGACCTGCTGATGGAGACCGCTGCGCTTAGCACAGCTTCGTCAGGTGGCATGTATGCAGTCAGAGCTGAAAAAACACCTGGGAACTGGCCACCCAGGGAGCTGCAAGGCCAGAGCCCCTGCTGAGCAGATGGCTAGAAAATGGGCTCATGGCAGGGCTCCCAGGCTGGTATCCCAGTGCACCCCGGAGACTGACTGACAAGGATTCCTGCCTGTTCTGACTGCACACATTTGCTAGTTGAGTTCCTGGCCCCAGGCTAGAAGCAAAACTTGGCAAGTCCTTGTGCCAACAGCCAGAGTGCTAGAGGATGGCAATCTGCTTCAGGAAGGTCCTCCAGGGACACCCTCAGTGCCCAGCCACATCCCCTCTGCCTCTGCCTGGGGACAGCCCAGCTCCAGGAGATGCCTCAGGCCCAGGGAGCACCCTGAGCTGACAGGCCCTGTCAGCCTCAGACAAGTACTTTTAAATGCTTTTCCCCATTGCTCAGGCCTGTGGACAGTGACACTGGCTGACTTAGCAGTCCCTTCCGCACTGCTCTGACCTGGGGCCTTTGCTAGTTTACTTGCTATTATTTCCCCAAAGCCAGAGAGCAAGACTAGCCTGTAACTAGACAGCACCACGAATTAAGTGAATAGAGGCTGAAAGAAGGACCTCTTGGCAGCCAGTCTGACCCTGGCCGCCCCTTCCAGGCTCCTGCAGCACTCCTACCTGGGGAAGACTGAGTTGGCAGAATCCTAACTGGTCGGAAAGCCTGGGACTGCTGCAGAGCCCCAGCATGCTCTTCCCCTGTGCACCTCCCAGCTCAGCTCTCTCTTGGTTTGCTTTCAGATCCCCAGGGAAACTTAGCAAGTCCTCGGAAGATGCAGCCTTTTAGTTACTAGCACAAGTCATCCAGTGACCACTATCTGTCAGAAGGCAGGAGCCTGGGTCACACAGAAGTTTCCAGACTCTAGAAGCTCAGAACTCTTTGTTTCAGCAACTCCCCCAAGGGAGGACATCTCTGGAACAGGCACATGGCTCCTGCTCCCAGTTCCCTTGCATACCAGACAAGGAATTCCTCCACCCATGCCTGCCAGAACCAGGACATAGTAGGACAGCCTAATTTTTGTCCATGTGAGCCAAGCCCTGGGGCCAGAAGGACAGAGAGGGGAATGAGGGGAAAAAAATTACCGCTGCTTTTGCCTCCGCAGCTTTGGCTTTCTTCAACCTGGCTTTGCAGGCATCCAGGTCCAGGCGGCGGTTCTGCAGGATCCTCCGCTCTTTCTGGAAGGGACAGAAAACGAGCAAGAGCAGACTGCTTAGAGTGGTTGTGAAGGGAAGGGGACAAGGTATCATCTAGAAATCCAATCTATTCCCTTATGATGGGGAGAAAGAAGTGTGACCAGCAGAAGCAGGGAGGTGACAGTCCCCCTGTGCTCTGAACTGGTGAGGCGGGTGTTCTGTCCAGGTTTGGGCACCTCAATACGAGAAAGATCGAGGGGCTGGAGCGAGTGCAGAGGAGGGCAACAAGGCTGGGGAAGGGCCTGGAGAATAAATCCTGTGAGGAGCGACTGAAGGAGCTGGGACTGTTTAGTTTAAGGAGGAGAAGGCTGAGGGGAGACCTCGTCACTCTCTACAGCTCCCTGAAAGGACATTGTAGAGAGGCTGGTGCTGGTTTCTTACAGGTAATTAACAATTGAACAAGAGGGAACAGCTTTAAACTGCAACAGGGGAGGTTCACACTGGACATTAGGAAAAATTTTCACAGAAAGAGCGGTCAGAGAGTGGAATAGGCTGCCCAGGAAGGGGGTGGAGTCACTGTCCCTGGATGTGACCCTGGATTTAAGGGTCATTTAGATGAGATGTTAGGGATATGGTGTAGGGGAGAACTAGAGTCGGGCTGATGGTTGGATCAATGATCCCGAGGGTCTTTTCCAACCTGAATCATTCTGTGAAGTAGTCGGTATGTCCACCTCATTAACAAGAGTTTTGGGCCTGGCTGCCAAGGATACAGGTTAACCTTCTGGAAACAGGGCAGCCTATGGGTGGGTGGTGCCCAGCAGGCTGCAGGACTCAGGAGAGGAGTTACCTTCCTCATGTGCATCTATGGGCAACGCTTCCCTGCCACAGAGGGAACCCTGAGCAGACCCAGGACTGGTATTCCCCCATCCTTGCATTCTTTGAGGGAAGAATATTCAGTCCTCCTTTCTCACAGGGAAGGAAAATGAGTTCTTCCATCACTGCTTCCCTCTCCCTTTGCCCTCCTTGTCTCTGGTGACATGACAAGCTTCCCCTTCCCTGTGACCATACTTACAGATATGGTTCGCCAATCCCCTTCCAGGAAGTTGCGCAGCGGGGTCAGGAAGTTGATGGAGGCAGAGTGGATGAAGTCCCGTTCTGCTGCACCTAAGCGCCTTTGAGTCTCTCCAACTTTTATCAAGGTCTTCCCTGCAATGACAGGAGCCTTCAACTCCAGGAGAAACCAGTTAACACTGTGCTGGCTTTGGCCAACTCACCCAAAGGTATCAGGCTCCAGTGCTGGGAGATGAAGGCACAGGGTACCCTGCCTGGACAAGGTAAAACCAGGCCTGTACCACACCAGCTTCACTCCTAACTACAATCTGCTTTTAGCTTGAGGCCTCAGCTGTTCCCAGTGCAGCTCTGATTTTATCTATCTTCTGAGGCACTTATTCCACTGATGTCCTTTTACTGCTACACCTGCTTGTGCAGAATGATCTTTGTCTCATAAAACAGAGGCACAGGAACAGAGCAACAAATTAAAAAGCACCAGAGCAGAAAAAAATGAGTTGATTAGGCAGTGCTGGCTATAGATGCAGTTATGGCTGTTCTGCCTGTAACAGGACTTGCTATTGAAGAACTATTGATTTGCAGAGCAATAACAAAGCTCATGGCAGAGGGAAGGACAGATGGAAGTTAAGGCTGTGCTTCTGTGCTGGTTTGCTGCTCAGAAGAGCCCAAAATTCCCCCAGGAAGGGGCAATGGCTAGGATTTAAGAATAGAAAGATGCTCTGTGTGGTCAGGAAGGGGCCTGTTGAGGCTTGTAGCCAGGCACTAACCTTCCCAAGTCTGTTTTTCTGTTCTCTTTCTGCTGGAAAAAGATTTCCACCCTTCACTTGCAGGAGAGTTAAAGGATAGTTCTCCTGTTCAGAGTCTAGGGAAACTGTGCAACTAGATACCACCTTAGACTAAAAATATGCTCAAACTGGACAAAGCTAAAACCATTCACTGCGACTCCCTGTTCAGTCTAGTTTAGAAAGCCACAGAAATGGCACAGAATAGTTTCTGTGTCCTGTAACCAGTTCCACTACCTACCCTGGATCCACGTGTCTTTATTTCTTCTCCAGCTCTGCCAGACTTTGACTCTATGAGGAGTGGGGAGACCCCTTTTCCCCCACAGCATGGAGCATGCTTTGCTGTGGAGTAAGACTTGCCTTCCTACTCCATATAGGCTGCTTGCTTCTGTGCTAGAGAAGACCCTTCTCTGGCATCAGCTCTGACACACTAATAGGTAGGTTGCTGTGGGGGGAGCAGTCACCCTGCCCCCTTCAAGAGGCATGCTACAGAAGTCTGAGCCCAGAACAGTAGAGAGGATACTCTCAGGAAGGATGGATTCCCAGGGCTTTTTAATTAGCCAGGCTGACTTACCATAAGGTGTCCCTGGCCCAAAGTCATTAGCTGCTTCTGTCATGTACTGTGCCAGCAGCTCCCCGTTGGTGACCCGGGAAGGCACCTTCCGGTCAAGCTTCTCATAGAGGAATTCTTCTACTCTGGCACCTGGAATGAGGATGCCGCTGGTGGTTACAGGATGGGGGATGAAGGAGAGGCCCCTGGAACTGGCATTGAGGGTAGCCCACCCCATGCAGTCCTCAGTAACACACCGGACAGCAAGCACCAGCACCAGTGCTCAGGGGTGCTGCCAGACTGTGTAGGGCAGCAGCCAGTCACCTCAGCTACACAGGGAAGGAAGGACAGTCCCTGCAAAGAGATGTTTCTTCCACCCCCCCAAACTCAGTGCAACAGGGCTCTTTGCCAGAGGGCATGTCTTTTAACGCTAAGCTGCGAGTGATACTTGTCCTTCAAGCATTAGAAGCAGCTGGACTTACTAGGGTTTGGCTGTAGCAGAACTTCAGTCTGACGCAAGATCTTCTCTGTCCAGTTTTTTGTGGAGTCTGCTCTGGCCAGAAGGTTTTCAAAGTGGGCATCTAGTTCAGTCTTCTCAGCCTGGCCCAACTTTTCTTCAGTAAACTACAAGGAAAGAGGTAGTTGTTAGAAGGTCTGTACTACTAAAGCAAAATTACAATGTGCTGCTACAGGGCTATTAAGAGACACTGAGGCTTCTTCTGTCTCATGCATTTATCTTAGAGTAGAGATAAGAAGTCTTCAAGGTGTCATTCTTTGTTGCCAGGCATCATTCAGGGGAAGAGGGCAAATTTTTGCCCAAGATTGGAACAAGCACTGAGCTAAGAACAGAGTTCAGCTTTGAGAGGTGTTCCAGCATAAGTAACTTTTAATAAGGTCTCATACAAAAATACTCTAGTTGCGAGGAATCTATTTAAACTGTGCACATGGTTTCCAGTATTTCACGCAGGAGAGCAAGACATGCTTCGCATGAGGGAAGGTGCCATCTCCCTTCACCTCCTAACCAACTCTGTCCTACAAACCAACAGGATCAGGAGTGCCACTACCACCTCACAAGTCAGGCTTTCTTCTCATCTTATTAGACAAGCATGTACACAACATCAGTTTTGCTACAGGGCTTGTGAGTGCCCTCTGCCAGTTGTCAGACTGACAGTGTCTGTTCCAGTGAGCTGCCAACTGAGCATCTGAGGTTTAAGGAGGCTCAAACTCAGGATTGAGATAAAAATGCTTCCAGCAAGTGACTCCTCCTCTAGGACATGCTCTGAAGCAGGGTATCAAGAGAAATATGTGTCTGACTGCTCTCAGCACTCGGATTCATACTGGCAATGGACTTTCCCTCCCTCCACAATTTCTTTTAAGTTTAAAATTAGCAACAGGGAAGAGCAGGCTGTGCAAGTCTTCAGTGTGTTCATACTGGGCAGTAACAGCTAACAAACAGTGTTTGTCAGTCTGGAGGTGCAGCATCAGATGGCCTGGACATCCCCCATTGCTTCATTGGGGGATTTCTGAGAAAAAAACCCATTCCCTCTCATCCCATCCCCATTTTCCACTTGCTCCTCTCAGTGACTTTGGCCAACTTCAGTGTATTTTTAAGCACCATTTCCTGCTCTTGATGAAACAAGCATCTTGCTGGGTCATACTAAAAGACCTCTCTAGGCAGCTATGCCACTTGGGATTCTACAGAGGCAGCAGTTGTCCTTTTAGCCCTTGTTGCTGACCTCTGGGGCCACTATTGAGTTATTAGGACATGGTACTGTACAACACCAGGCACAGTCAGTCGCCAAGAGATTAAAGCCTGGCTAAAACTCTTCGATGAAATACAACTCCTGTCTGGTCTGCCACTTGTAGTTTCTCCTCTGTCCTCCCCCACCCCACAGCTCAGCTCTAGACAGTCCAAGATGCCCTCTCCATGGGGTCTTGGTCTGGTGTCTGCTGCCCCTTGTGAAAGGCTTTCTGGCAAGCTCTGTTCCTGCAGCTGCCCCACAGCCCCAGCTGCCCTCACACCCAGTACAATGCCGGGAACAAAGCGCGATAGGGAGCAACCCCAGAACCAGCACACGAGGCAGGCAAACAGCCTCCAGGAGTCCTGTTACCAGCCCTGCGCAAATGTTACCAGATGTCTGAGATATACAAGCCCTGCAGGTATGTTTACAGAGTGACCTGTTTGGGCAAGATTCGAGCCGGAGCCAGTGAACTGCTTTGCCAGATGTAGGTGGTGACAGATATTCAACTGCAAGGACAGTCACGCTCCCTCCTGCTGCTCGGACTCCCAGCCATGCACGACAAGGGATCACTTCACTAGTCTTCTCCTCAGCACCAGTAGCCCCTGGTTACTGGCACTTATTTTCAGCTCAGTCTTGCCATGGCCCCAAGGCTATTGCTGGACACGGTTAAAAGCAGATTGAAGGTGAGAGGGTGCTTGTATTGCTTTGTATCCAATGTCTGTGATTGTCTTTGGGGGACACACACGACTATCAGACGTGTGAGTGGCTGAGGCTCTCTTCCTCTGTCACTGTTGGAAGCCCAGGGCCGTTTTCAGACTCTGCCAGGCTGGGCTGAGTCACTGCCATGCAGCAAACTGGGGCTTCCCAGGTATTTGGCACCAGTTCGAGTCATCTGTTTAAGAGCTTTCTTAAACAAGCCAAGTCTCTTCGATGCAAAGATAACAGTCTCTCTCACCCCCCCTTTCCCAGACAGCTTTTTGAGATCTCATCTCACTTTCAAGTCCAGCTCTTTTTCCTGCAGTTTAGACTCATCCTGCACCAGCATCTGCCCTGGAGCTGTCAAGCCTAAACCCAGTTTCTTACTGGCTGAATTTAGTCGGCTTCTTACAGCACTGCTGCAGTCAGATCACTGCTGCAGCCCTCCAGCACCTCCACAGTGCTACTGCTGGCCTCTTGAATCACTCCAGCTCTGGGGTCCTCTGCTACATTCACAAGCAGCATCTCCAAGCATCACTGTTCTTTGTGGCTGTTTTCCACGACCCACCCCTTTGCCCGGTATGGTGAAATAACACGGGTCATTTGCACAGCACTGGGTCAGGGAACAGCCAGGACTCAGAAACTCAGTTCTTATCTCAAGTCAGGCACTAAAGCTGTTTGTCTTGTGAGAGAGCTGAGGACACGCACCATGACCAATGCAAGCCTGAGAGCTGTGCAGGAAGGGGAGGATGGGCAAGAATCTCAGTCACAGCCAGTGGCTTCAAAGGGTCAGGCCAGAAAACAATCTCTTATTCAGGCTGTATTTCAGAGTTGGAAAGCAGGACATGAACATCATGAAGTGGGTGCAAGGGCATGGGAGGCTGCAGCTCCCATGCTGGGAGGCTGTTACTCCCTCTATTTACACTTAATTCCCCAAGTGTCTCCCTCACCCCTGCCCAGAAGTCAGCTACACTGCAAAGCCCAGACCTGGTTGGTACTTCACTGAGGGTTGCTGCAGAGGATGCTTGCTTCCTCCCCTACAGCACACTTCTACCTCCTCACCTGTGCATGGGGAGTCACTGATCCAGCTCAACTTGACCTCTAATGTGACTTTTTAGATGGATCAGAGACTCACCTCACAGCACTACTGGGAATGTGCCATCAGGTGTCGGGGAGAACAGGACCACCTCTTGCAGGAACAGCTTCCAGTGAGATCAGATGAAGCTTCTCATGAAAGCACAGCCAGTGAAGGAGATTAGAGGTAAATTACACCACCTTGTCCTATGAGCTGGTTCTTTTTCATGGCTGGTGCAAGTGGAGATCTGAGCTTTCAGATGGCAACAGGTCTCAGCTGCTGATCCTCTCAACTGGCTGCCCAAGTCAGTGTCCCCAGTGAAAAGCAGAGTAGAAGAGCCGTTTAAGAAGTCTGGCTACTCAAGCACTTCAAGCTGAACTCCCCCATAAAGGATTTTTGTTCCTAGGAATTTGTTTTCATAACACTTACAGAAATTTCATTGTTTTCCCTTCCCGTTGAACAGACATAAGATGTCACTGTGAGGCCAAAAGATGCAGGAGAACAGATGAGCTGATCACACTCATGCCTCCTGACTGTAAAACACAAATTAAAAAATATTTTGTGTCTTGCTGCTCCTGGACTAGAGGCATTGCTATCTTTTGCAGCACCAAATACTCCAGACTGCCACAAATAGGAGTGTTATCTGGTTTTACCAAGCTGGCATACAGGCTTGGTGCATATCCACCTGGGAGAGAACAGGGCGGGCAGAGCACACTCAGTTGCAACGCCTGGGGAGAACCTTAAGCTCCTCCATCCTGATGTGGCAGAACTACTCCCGTTTTTTTTTCCTAGAACCTGACAGTTGGGTCAACAGTCCTGCCCTGAACCCATTCCAGGATCTGCACCCTGGGATGACGTGCCAGGTCCCAGTGCTGAGGCTCCACGGATCCTGCCCTGCAGGAAGCTGCCCCAGCTGAGCACCAGCCCCGTCTTTGTGCAGGGAAGCCGATGAGGTGATTAATAATGCAGGGCAGCCTTTTGTCAAGTGCCACTCTCACTCTCCAGGAAGAAGAGAGTCGTGCTGCATTCCAGGGCATCAATAATTCAGCCAAAGGTTGGGTTTCCTCTGGGAGGCTCGGCTGGACAGCAGGAACACTAGATGCATTATCAGGGCCCGTATGGGCAAGCAGGCTGACAGGTCAGGAGAGCAGCGCTTGGGCAACAGGCCCAAAAGAAGCAAGACTGCTGGACTGCAGTTAGGGCAGCTGCCTGCACTCGCAGCTTGCAGGGAAAGCTCCCCTTTGCCCAAGAGAGTTGGTGCAGACGCTACCGCGGTGTCAAGAGGGTGAGCAAGAATAGCTGTGCTGGATGGGTCCCTCTGTAGTACAGCTACAATAATCAAAAAAGGCTGTGCCTACAGCCCTAGAGACTAAAGGCCATGAAGGTTAGGCTTTAAAATAGCAGTTGTTGTTTTCTTTGCTGAAAGCATTAGCACCTTTCTCCCTCTTAAAGTGAGGGGAATAAAATCCCAGTGCTCCCATAACTGAGTTATGCCAACACCACAGCTGTTTAGCACAATGCCGCATGAGTGGACTTGTGTCTCTTCCAGGCTTGTGTGATTTTTTTCCATCCCTCTCCCCTCCAGCTGACCCAGGCCTGGACGCTGTGAGCTCAGACAGGGTAGCTGCAGCCCCCTTGCAGAGGATTTGGTGGCAGAGTTCAGGCCCTTGTACCACTTGCAGGGTCCCTAGTTTTTCCAGCTGGACATTACTTATCACTTTCCACCTTAAAACACAAAGATCAAGCCAGGGCCAGAAGTCTTAAACCAGGAATAGTCTCCTGCACCTGCCAGTAAATTCGAGCCAATGGATTTTCTGAAGCCTTTGAACAAGTTCATAATGCCCAGGCTATTGAACATTTGCTTTTTTGGTGATCAAAGGCATGACAGAATCAGTTCAGGCAATCTACCTTTCACCTTGCACAGGGCTGCAGTAGGAGAGAAGCCACAGCCACTCAGCATCTAAAAAAACTACCTGAATCTCAGCAGCTCTGGGCCGGATACAGAGTATGCTATTTGGTCACCAGGAGTCAGGAAAGCTAGGCTGCGAGCCAGCTGAAACTGTGCTAGAGGACAGAAGGAAGCCATTAACAGGACAGCTTGGTTAACTCATGAGCAAGGCATTTAGGAGAGGAAAAA